TTATTCACTGTTAAAATGCTGTACCATTACTTTCACCATCCTACTACAGCCAGATCTGAAGGCCTTTGCCGCATTCTGGCCATGCTGTGTGGCGCGTATCGCGTGGACGGGTTTCACGTTCTCTGCACGTAATAAGCTCGGTTATTAAGCATCCTTTTTGGGATGCCCGGTGGCCGAGGGGAAGACGTGTAGTGGCGTGAAGCTAGGCGATTAGGTGCCGTACGCGAGCGCCGGTTCGAGTCACGCACGCAGTACGTATTTACTATAATTAGACATAGTCTTTACCTTGCCGTTTATTCGGTGTTATTTGCTTACTTTACTTCCTATGTCGACAGCAACTATGAGTTTAAAAGTTATGCGTAAGTCACTTGGTCACTTTAATCACTTTAATAAGACGTTTCACGCCCCGACTCCGAATAAAATGTTCAGTTAATTAGATTAAAATATACATGACTTGCGTTAGAAAAGTACAATCCTTTCCTACATGCCAAAGCATTAGTTTCTACAATAAATTACTAACTTTATAAACTTACTAGAACCTGTGTGTTCTATGGCTGTTAGACTCGCAAAATTGAACCCGTTCAAGCCAGAAATAGTATTGAAATATTCACCAGAATACAAGATAAACGGAAATGTTAGGAAACTCCTTTCCGTGAAATTAGTCTTTAATGTTTCTTTCCCAACTATATACGTTAACAGAACGTTTTTTCTCCCCAGTTTTAGTGTATCACGCGCGCCATTTCACGACAGTAACATTACATTGCAAAACATAGTCCGCGATAAAATGGTTCATATTTACGTTTTTACGGAAGTCTGACATTAATAAATAGTTCGGATGTCACATACGTTTTTTTCCACTTGTTGTAGTTCGGTTTCAAATGAAACAACCGCGGAAAAATGGCCGTGCGTAGTGAGGTAATTGACCACAAAATGGAAGGCTGCCTGTGGCAGAGGGAGGTACTATTGCGTAAAGCGCAAAGACCTATTACTAGTATGGGAAGGAGATTGCACAGACCTGTGTCATATGACGCCTTACTCGCCGATTTGAGCTAAAATAGCCAGCCACCCTGCAACGCATGTACTTGTTTCATTAAATTGTTTGTTGTTTCTATCCTCCAGGCCCGTGTTCTGATTGATTGACTCTTATACAAGATTTGCACAAGATTTTTATTGTGTTGAGTCAGATGTAGTTACGGCGACGAGGCGTACCTCGTGCGATAAATAAAAATAATTAATAACGGCAAGTAAAACAACAAAATATTCATAAATAAACAAAAATAACAATAAAAAATGGAACCTATACCAACATCTGATTTTAATAAAAACAATAAAATACAGTTAAAGGCTAGGAATCTGAATTCAACTTAGGAATTATGGCTGCAATGTTCAATAAATACATATATATATATTTACTTATTCCACGTTGCATAGAATAAACTTATCGTCTTTTTCATTCTGTCGATCTCTAGCTCAGCCCATATCTCTATTAAAATGATAGAATGTTGTCAATTCTGGTTTCTTTCAAGCCCTTTTTTCTATCTCAGAAAACTAAAAAAATCCTATCGGCTGATTGATATTATTTTCAGCTTATATTATAATCTTGTCGCGGGATAATTTCTAGAAAACTATTTGAAGACTCGGGTGGACGAACGTGGCACTTTAGACCAGTGAAACAAAATACGTCGTTCTAAGTTGACCCCGAGAACATGATGGATCGATCACTCGATCATATTATTTTCTGTTGTCATCGTGTTAAAAATAGTTAGAGTTGTTCTCAATCGTATCACTTACTGTCCCGTGTTGCTGTAATAGCAGAGTTCAAATGATCGTGCTTTTTAATTTGTTGCACACCGACGAGAGACCATCGGCGCCGACATTGTTACACTGAACTTTGAATGAACTTGACATTTTGTGTTCAATCAAATAATTTATAAAATAAAATCGCAAAACGGTCGCACATGCAATATTTATAATTTAATTCGGCTTTTTGTAATATGTCAAACTAAAACCCAGGGACAGAATAGTTAGTACAATCAAAAATGAACCAGTAGTAGATTCACACGACATTTAAATAATATGTCAAAGTATCTGAGGTGTATGCTGAACAACATCGTTAGCTAATGTATAAAAAATCACGACAGCTGCAGTGAAACTTCAAACTGTTAAACCCAATCCAAGATATGAATCTGACAAACTAGTTCACGGGCTCTGTTGCACAGAATGTACTCAATTCAATACGTCTGCGCATTGGATACAAGTCACGTTGAGAGTTTCAACAACACTCAAAACATTTTTCATGACAAGCAAATCGCGTTTCATTCCAGACACTACGAGACGAGAACAAATTTAGCTGTGTTACACAAGAACGACAATACCGTTCGTCCGTAGACAAGTAATTGGAACTCGCCAAATGCCGGCAGCAGCAGAGACATTTCAAAGAAAAATTGCATGGAACGTATTACAACTGTCGACAGAATGCATGGGCTATGGTGACAATTGTAGCCGAGTTTATTATTTGATCATTTTTTTTTTCTTTAGGCCAGACTTTTATTATCCCTTGTTTCGCGAACCCGCCGAATGAACAGGAGCCGAAAATGAAATAAAAATATAATTTTATTTCAGCGTAATTTCTCGCGCCAGCCGACTTGTAAGCGCAAAAAAATGCTAAAAAAATAATATTTTTATCTTCATTTTTTTACCGCCCGCCGCGTAACAAATCAAAGTTGCATTTTCGTGGGAGTATCATGATCAAAGTACCGAAGTCTCGCGCAGATGAGAAAAAAGGTTATACATAGAATAACATTTTATTTCATTTCTTCTCCCCGATCAATGATCTTACTTACAATTCTTTGAGAATCACACAAATCTAATGAAAAAGAATTATTTTTTTTCCCGCCCTCCTCAAAAAATTGTCTTATAAAAACTCGCGAAACAAGGAATAAAAAAAGTTTGGCCTTAACGAGAACATTGCCTTTAGGCTTTTTTTTTTCTTTTAGTGATTTTAATCCCTTCGTGTGTAACGCTGGGATTTATGACATGTAGACAATAGTATAGAGAAACAAACATACATCATTTTCGATTTGGAGTTATATTTAAGCCGGGACAATTACATTGTTTTATGATACAAATTATGTTGCCTTCGTCGAAGAAAGTGGTGTTATTTAAATGTTTAATTCATTTATTTAAAAAAATCCTTACTATTTTCCCATGTTTACTGTTAAATGAGGCGCACTAGTACATGGCTAGTTTGTCTAGGTAGGTTTTCTGATTTTTGATTTTGATAAAATGACTGTCTTCGGTATGCTCTAGCTTTAATAGAGGCGAATCACAAATGTCTACATCAAAACATGTCTGGAAGGCAGGTCGTTTATGAAGATTGCAAACCTTCTTTGTCGCCGGATGTCTTGTGTTTCTCATTACTGTATATACTTGTAATGAGATGCTGAATTGTTCGAGTTACGGGCATCGAGTTACAAAAATTACCACGCCCATATTTTAGAAACCACACCCACTTCTGAGACGCCACTCCCAAATTGTAACTCAATGTAACTTCAATTTACAGTTAACAAAACTTCGAGTTACGGACAATATGAACGTCCACATTTAGTGACTCGAACTTTAATTAAAAGATAAGGGAACTTCGAGTTACGGGATTTATCGTTTTGTTTAACGTTCAAATTTAGTAACTCGAATTTTAATTAACTGTTAACTGAACTTCGAGTTCGATAATTATGTCGATATCATCTCCTTATAATACTTATACTCGCTTAATATATATTGAACGTATATACATTCCCTGAGATCAAAGTACCGGCAACATCAAATATGCGACGTGTTAACTACACAATAAGCCCTGCTTGTACTAGCAGTTTACGTGTCGTAACCGTCACGTGACCATGATTTAACTAGTGCGTATATTGATATCCGGTTGAGTGACGTCACATGATCGGGATAGGGAAGGTAAATGACCTTGTATGTTTTTATAAACAATGTCGGTCGTATGTTGAAAATCTTAAAAAAAGGTAAGATTTTAAACATTTTTCTGTAGTTAACTTGGATTAACCAAAAAATGTGATAGTAGAATTAATGCAGAGTTAAAGGGTTTCCTCCTAGCCCGAACGAACGCGGCAGTTATCGGAAACGTTCGGTTCACTGTTTATATTCATGACGTCACTGTCATATCCGCCATATTTAGTTCTAAACACAAAGTGGAACGGAGGAACGAACAGTGAACAGCTGCGGAAAGGCCTTCTACAATATTTGTAGTTTTTAATCAAATCACACCCTTCTTGG